TCATCATCATCATCTTTATCATCTCCATCATACTCATTGCCTCCATCATTGTCTTCATCTTCATCATCTCCATCATCTTCATCATCTCCATCATCTTCATCATCTCCATCATCTTCATCATCTTCTCCATCACACTCATCATCTCCATCATCTCCATCATCTTCATCATCTCCATCATCTTCATCATCTCCATCATCTTCATCATCTTCATCATCTTCATCATCTCTATCATCTTGATCATCTTCATCATCTTCATCATCTTCATTATCTTCATCATCTTCATCATCTCCATTATCTCCATTATCTCCATCATCTTCATCATCTTCATCATCTCCATCCTCTTCATCATCTCCATCATCCTCATCATCTCCATCATCTCCATCATCTTCATCATCCCGTCCCTCGCCGTTCGCCTCTTCCTCTCCCCCATCCCTTCACCTCCTCCTACCTCACCTCCATGCCTTCCGATCCCTCCCGAGGTCCTGTCGGATGCGTGGCTCTCCGAGGACACTCAAACTTTGTGTCCTTTTGGTAGTTGTGATGGCATTGGCATATTGGATCCGTGACGTTCCGCCCCCTCGAGTTGTATAGCAGTGCAGCAACGGGGCTCCTGCGGACTGCCCCACCCGCATTCCCTGCATAATTCTCCAGCAGAAGCAGCATCTGCTGTCGTGCTGAAGCCGAGGTCTAGTATCCCAGGTGTTGCACCAGGCCCCAGACAGCACAATTGATTTGCACTCCTTACAGCCTTTCCATGCTCAAAGTTCGCCCCTTCGTTTGAGCTGGCCATGACGAGACCTTGCCTTGCTGCCTTGCTTGAGTCTCAGAATGAGCAGCTGGCGACTGCAGACGACGAATGCTCAGATGCATCCTGAGCCATGCCGATCAAACGGACAAGATCAACAAGTCGACACTTGGTGGCAAGAATCAAAGATGGCACCATGACCGTGAACGTTGTAAAGAACTTGCTCGGAGAAGATCTCAGGCCTAGGCACTCTTCAATTGCGCCCCCATCCAATCACGGGCGGTGTCTACGGCAGGCGCATGTTCTGGCCCCCTTCGGTTCGAACATGGACAGCAAAAGCATAGAAGTGTCCATCCACTGTGTCGCTTGGCGAACTACATCTCGCCATGCCGATGCTTGCGAAGAAGGCGAGGGAGAAGGCCAGGCAGAAGACCAATGAGTCGAAGGGTAAGGCTGCGGAAGCTCTTACCCACAAAATTATGGACTTCATAGGACTTTCGTGCAAAGATGCTCAACGAAGATCAAGGCAGCGAGATCACGATGACCAGAACATCTGTCGCGGCTCCTCTATGCTTGGTTTACAGCGTAGCAGGTCTTGCCGTGGCAGCAATCGAATCGTCGACAACTGAAGAAAATGGCAGGCTTCCAGCATTTGGGAGGGCCTGAGGGTACGGCCTCCCCCTTTCACTGTCAGACTCTTTCAGCGATTCTTTGCTGGAAGAGCCACGTGGACACATCTGTTGGGATACATGGGTGCTCGTACAGTAAGAATTAAGAATCCTACCGTCGAAAGAGCCCACAGCAATCAAGAGCCCGGCCCTGCTCCGTTTCATGGCCTGTAGGAGTTTGCAAGGGTTTCTGGACGTAGGCAGTCACGCACACGACATGGATCTACATGGGGGAGGGGGACTTGTTGTCAATTACAGCCCAAACTCCGTATGTCTGATGTTTTTTGGCAGACAGGACGGTCAAACCTGGGGACAGCTTCCGGAGCATGCCTGGGCGTTCGTCGCCGATCGCTTCGGCCAACAGGCAGGGCAGGGCAGCCTTCTAAGAGGACTCCGAGGAAGTCAGGTGATCCCTATCATGACATGGAAATCATGGAAGAGAGCTGACTCGCGTTTCCTCCGAACGCTAGCTTGCAGAGACGCCTCTAGCTGTTTGAAGGGTTGGTAAGGGTGACAACAGGCTTGCCGGGGCTTTTCGAGAGGGCACGCTCCTTTGAATGTCGATCCACTTGCACTCGCAGTCGGCAAGTGCACGGTCACAGCCCAGAGGAAAACCCGGCAAGTCGAAGCCTGCTCGTCCTTGAATCAATCTGCGCACAAGTGGATCTTCATTTGTGCGATCAGGCCGTCCAGTTGGAGGACAGCAAGGGCCCAAGTGCTAGCTGCAGTACTGTGAGACGGTTCTGAGACTCTGAGACGATGAAATGGTAGCATGGATGCCAGAGGTCGTGTGCTGGTGACTGGTGGCACCGGTGGTGGCCGAGACGTCTTCAGATCCAGGTGCACGACGGTTCTCACTTGTCGCAGTTCCTCAAGCTCTTGTAATCCTTTGAAAGTCCTTGGTCTAAAGTTGAAGCGCAATGAATGCTATCTTTAAAACGATCCGGTCTGCAAGTCAAGACTTCAGGCTTCGGCTCACATGGTCGCGCGGGGGGGGCCCTGAACTTTGCAAGTTGCCGCTTTCATCCATCCTGCCCCGCAGGTTGTTTGCTTTGGCGCTTGAGGGCATCGACGAGGGCCTCAAAGACACGGAGCCACTTCAGTAATTAGTCGGGGTCGGGGCAGGTCTGTGGCTACGGCTATGGCTAACCGATGCTGACCGTCTTCGAATCTGACACTTTCCACCGCTGCTGCCATTGCTCCTCCTCCTTCTGGTAGTCACTACTGCAGCTGCATATACTGCTGTCGCTGCTGCTGTTGTTGCTGCTTCTGCTCCTCCTACCTCTACTACGCCAAGTATCCTGCGACTCCTAAAACAACAACCACTACCTCTACCACTACCACTACCACTACCACTACCACTAGTACTAGTACTAGTACTAGTACTAGTACTAGTACTACTCCTACTCCTACTGCTACTGCTACTGCTAATGCTACTGGTACTGGTACTACTACTACTAGCCACCCCCCTC